ACACACACACACACGCACACACACAGACACACACACACACACGCACACACACGCCCACACACACACACACAGAAACGATTACAGGAAACCATTAGAAGAAGCAGGTGTGTCTGTGATCAGTGTTGTGCTGAGATACTCACGCCCTGCTCGAACAGAGCGCTGATCACATCTGCATCCATCACCGAATCCTCGTCCATCTTGGAGACAAATGGGGCGATGCGCTCCTGGGCGAACTTCTTGACTGGTGAAGAGAAGAAGAGCGTTACTGCGGTCTGACTGTTTCTGGACTCACGTGTGTCTCGTGAACAGCGTCTCACCTGCATCTCTCATCATGCTCTCCTCCTCTGAGAAACTCTGCAGCGGCGGAAACACAGGTCTGATCACGTCATGATGAGCTTCTGCTGCGGCGCGCGAACACAAGCGCCTGACCGCGGCGTGCGAGCGAGACAGAGACCCGCAGACCTGCAACACATCAGACAAACAACCATCAGACACACAAACATCAGACAAACAAACATCAGACAAACAAACATCAGACAAACAAACATCAGACACAAAAACATCAGACAAACATCAGACAAACATCACACAAACATCAAACAAACAAACATCAGACAAACAAACATCAGACAAACAAACATCAGACAAACAAACATCAGACAAACATCAGACAAACATCAGACAGACAAACATCCATCAGACAAACATCAGACAAACATCAGACAAACAAACATCAGACAAACAAATATCGGACAAACATCAGACAAACATCAAACAAACAAACATCAGACAAACAAACATCAGACAAACATCAGACAAACAAACATCAGACAAACAAATATCAGACAAACAAACATGACAAACATCAGACAAACAAACATCAGACAAAGAAACATCAGACAAACATCAGACAAACAAACAACAGACAAACAAACATCAGACAAACATCAGACACACAAACATCAGACAAACAAACATCAGACAAACATCAGACAAACATCACAAACAAACATCAGACAAACATCAAACAAACATCAGACAAACAAACATCAGACAAA